CCTCAGTCCCTGTTGTCCCCTCTTGGCAGCTTCACCTGGTGGCCCTGAACGCCCCACTGAGCGGTGGCATGCGCGGCATCCGAGGCGCTGACTTCCATTGCTTCCAGCAAGCCCGGCAGGTCGGGCTGGCCGGCACCTTCCGTGCCTTCCTCTCCTCCCGCCTGCAGGACCTCTACAGCATCGTGCGCAGGGCCGACCGCGCCGCTGTGCCCATTGTCAACCTCCGGGTATGTGTGTCCCCTTCTTGACACCCCGCAAGCTCTGAGGGATGCAGAGCAGCCCAAAGCCACCATCCATCTGCACAGCAGTGATCGCAGAGCATCCCCTCCCCAGGGGCTGCCGGGGCTCAGAACTCCTGTGATGCTCTCAGGGTGCAGGCAGGGCTGACCACCCCCCCCCTTTTTCCACCCCCGCACCAGGACGAAGTGCTCTTCAGTAACTGGGAAGCCCTTTTTACGGGCAGCGGGGCCCCACTGCGAGCCGGCGCCCGCATCCTCTCCTTCGATGGCCGGGATGTCCTGCGGGATGCGGGATGGTGAGTGCAGGATCGAGTGATGGGGAAGGAGGGGAGATGGGGGTCTGGACCGCAGTGGGTGCAGCAGCAGCCCCCCACCTTTCTCCTTTCTAGGCCGCAGAAGAGCATCTGGCACGGCTCGGATGCCAAGGGCCGGCGCTTGCCCGAGAGCTACTGCCCCCCCCCCTTTCTCCTTTCTAGGCCGCAGAAGAGCATCTGGCACGGCTCAGATGCCAAGGGCCGGCGCTTGCCCGAGAGCTACTGTGAGACATGGCGGACAGAGGAGCGGGCCGCCACCGGCCAGGCTTCCTCGCTGGGCTCTGGCAAGCTGCTGGAGCAAGCAGCCAGCAGCTGCCAGCATGCCTTCGTCGTCCTCTGCATCGAGAACAGCTTCATGACTGCTGCCAAAAAGTGACACACCCCCCGTCCCCGTCCCCTGGGTACCTGACATCTCCCCGGGGAGGGTCGGACCAGCCTGCACCCCGGCACCCCCGTGGTCCTCAGGCCCACCATCTCCTGCCCTCGCCCCACAGGGTTTTCTTCTCCCGCAGACCTGAAGCCAAAGAGTATCATCGCCATTGCCCCTGCCTTGGGTCGGCAGGGGCTCGCATCCCACCTGGGGCAGGGCAGACATGGGCTGGCTGCCTTCCTCCTCCTCCTCTCGCTCCACTTCTCTTCTAACCCCTAATATTTAACCACGTCAGCTTGCATCCACCACCCGCTTGGATGCTCTTTTTGGGGTGGCTGGGCGGGAGGATGCTTGGCAGGAAGATTTTGGCGCTGCCATGAGGTGTGCCCTCCTGGAAGGCCTTGGGGTGGTGTCTCTGACCTCCGCCCCAGCCCCACACTGTCCTTGCCAGGAGCTTGGGGCCAGACCCAAATCCCTGCTGCTGGGGCCACAGGGTCTTCTGCAGCCGAAACTCCGGCATACCTCCCAAGCAAGGGACCGTCCCAAGGCGGTGCCGGGGCTCCCCACAGATGGTCTCCGTCCTCCCCAGGTAAGGACCATCCCACCCAGCCGCCCCCATCATCATCCTCGCCTCCAGCCCCCACCTCATGAGCCCCGGGGGGGGTCTGGTCCCCCCATCCCCGCTGTGCCCCCCACGCCAGGTACAGCCACACCCAGGCCAGTGCAGGGACCGGGGCGATGGAGTGGCCCCGATGTGGGGCCAGGTGTGCCCTTGGCATGTGTTTATGAGTGTGTGCGTGTTGAACATGCTTGGTACCGAGGGCAGGCACCGCCACCACCACCCCTCCCCGTGCCACCTTTGCAGCGCTCTAGGGGCCAAGGCACAGCAAAGCTGGTTTGAATTGGTGTGGGCAAATCCAAGGTGCTAAAAAACAAAAAAGAAAAAAAGATAAATCTGTAACTAGCTTTTTATTATTGTATGGAAATTATTACCATAAAAGCTGTGCGAGTCACATGGTCTCTATTTCTTACAGTCTACTGTATTTTGTGTAATTAATGCAATTTAAAGCCTGTGGATCTTTATATTTTTTTTTGTCGATTGTGTCCTATAAACCATTTTCTAAAGGCACTGAATAAAGAAATGTTATCCTCTTGTAGCCTGGCTCCACATGATGATGGGGAGCCCGTGGCCGGGAGAGCCTCCGGACCCCATCTGTATGCTTGCGTGCTACCCACAGTGGCAGCTGTGGGCATCCTGCCCCTGCTCTGGTTGTGTTTGTGGCTGGTGGGGGGCACAGCCGTGCCCCCATGGAGCAGAAAACGGGTCCCAAGGGGTATGTCCTCAATGGGCCGGACTGCTGGCGGGACAGGAGACAAAGCACACGGTGACAGTGACGCTCACTTAGGGAGCTGAGACCCGGTCGCAGTGCTCAGGCTCACACGGTGCCTGCCTCCAGGCTGGTGCCTGCCTCCAGGCGGTTCTCCTGCGCCGGCACCTCAGCGGGTAGCTGGCACAGCTCCTTTGCCAAGGCCAGCTCTGCTGGCTGCTTGCGGCAGCTGTGCCGGATGCCCACGCCAATGGCCGCCAGCAGGTAGACCACTGCCAGCAGCGTGAAGTAGCCGAAATACACGTAAAACTGCAAGAGAGGTGGGAAGAGAGCAATGCTTGCAGCCCCCCCCTTCATCCCACAACATTAGGGGACCACCTCCATCCTAGGTGCTCCCCATCCCTACCTGGGGATGCACCGACAAGCCCAAGCCCCTCTTGTCGGCCACGACGATGGTGATGATGGTCTTCAGCACCGTGGCAAAGAAGGTGTTGACCCCAAAGACCAGCGCGCAGAGCTCTTTGGAAAGGGAGGTAGCGATCTGGAAACTGGGATAGAGGGGGACACCGGTGAGCCCCTGGTGCTAGCCCAGCTGCCAGGGTGGTAGCAGGTTCCCAGGTGTACCACGCACATGGCGATGGGCACCAGGAACTGGTAGGAGCCACGGAAGAGGACGTAGGTCGCGTAGCACAGCCAGATGTTGCTGGTGGTGTTCATGAGCAGGAGCAGCCCCGCCTGGAAAGCCGTCACCACCCCAATCACCAGCTCCGACCACAGCGTCCAGCGGATCTTCACGTAGCCGGCAGCGAAGGAGGCACCAGCACCTGGGGAGGGGATGAAGGATGCTGTGAACACCTCACCAGCATGGGACCTACCTTGCGTCCCCCAGCCTAGTGATGCTCATCTCATCTAGTGATGCTCATCTCATCACCACTGCCAAACCATCCCCAAAAACATAAGGATCATCATTCCCAGGGGATGCAGTCGGACGGGGGTGTCCCCCCACATCCCCAGTGTCCCCAGCCCAGGTGAGCGTACCCAGCAGTGTGGAGGCGGCATCCACCCCTCCGTTGTACACCTGGCGGTTGTCCATGGCAGGGTAGATCTCGTTCCAGAGGATATGCACATAGTACAGCATCAGGTAGTAACCAGCCGAGTTGAAGACCCACCACAAGGACCAGAGCCGGACATGGGGTTGCGCCCACGCCTCGCCCCCCCCGCAGCATCCGGCCCAGCCCCGCCTCCCGCCAGCCCCGCATCCCCCCACCGCCATCCCCCCTGGCCATCTTGTCCAGCTCGGCAGGCGCAGCCCCATCGCCAGCCCCCTCGGGCCGGTTGAAGAAGAGGCTGCGCCGGGGCCGCTCGAGGAAGAGGGTGAGGACAAGGCCGAAGCTGACGAAGCCCAATGAGACATAGTTGAGGGTGAGGAAGGAGACGCTGCCCAAGGTGATGCACAGCTGGCCCAGCACTGAGCTGGTGAAGACGCCCAGAAGGACAGCGGAGCGGGAGTAGCTGGCCATACGCTGGTAGCGGGACGGGGCGACGAGGGAGAAGATGTAGGAGGAGTAGGCAATGCGGGCAGCCATGGTGACGCTGTAGAAGAACTCCATCAGCTGCATGGCCAGGACTGAGGTGCCCAACACCAGCAGCAGCCAGATGGAGATGTGGCTCAGGCTCTGCAGCACCAGCACCGGGTTGTAGCGCCCGGTGGCTGGC